GCAAACGGTCATTTTTCAAAAAAATTATTTTTACTTTTATTTTTTTACCAATACTATAAATACCTTATCAAATTAACCAAAAACCGTTTGAAAAATTTGGGTAAAAAATCGTTGCCAGGGGCTTGGATGGATGTGGTGAAAGCCGGGATGGAATTGGATGAACTTGGAATTACATTTTCTTCTTTGTTCGACATTCACATTGGTGATGGTTCGGATACCTTATTTTGGTATGATAATTGGACCGGCCAAGGATCTTTGGCCTCGATTTGTCATTGCCTTATAAATCTTGATAAAAAGAAACCTACTTTCGTTTCTGAGCGGCTTTGTGGCAATCAACCAAACTGGAATTGGAAAAGGGCGGTCATGGATCAAATGGGGGCGGCTGAGTTTATCAAGTTGGAAGGCATTATTATGGGGGCTCATACTTCGAGTGGTGTAGATACTTGGAGATCCAAACTGTCGAGTGATGGTTCTTTCTTTGTCCGCGATCTAAGGCACCTGATCAATTTAAAGGCCACCCGTCCAGTTCAAAATCCAACTATGTGGATCTCCTTGGTGCCGACAAACGTGATTTGTTTTGTTTGGAGAACTTGTTTAGATCGAATCCCTACTTCGACGACTCTGGCTATGAGAAAAGTTAATATCGCGATCTCGTCTTGTCATTCCTGTAACGATGCGATTGATGAATCTAACCACATACTTGTCAATTGCCCAATAGCAAGAGGTGCGTTTAGTTGGATCCTGAATTGGTGTCAAATTTCTGGTCAACAATTCAATTCGGTGGCTGAGTTAGTGGGATTTGCTGCACAATGGGGGAGGTGTCCTAAGAAGAGACAAATTTTCATTGCTATCATTTACGGATTTCTATGGTGTGGATGGAAAGCTAAGAATGCAAATGTCTTCGATAATGCTAGGACTTCTTCGTTAAATTTGGCGGATAGCATAATCACCTTGGTGTTCAATTGGGTAAAATATAAGGGCAAGTTTGGTGATTGTAATTGATGTGTGTGGAGTTGTAATCCTTTTGACATTTTGTAATTTGTTTTTCTACCCAACCTTGTTTCTTTAAAGGCTGGTGCTAATATATTTCCGCCGTTTCAAAAAAAAAAAAAAAAAACCAAAAAAACCAAAAAAACCATAAACACTCACAAACATTTTATTTTTTTTTACCATCTTCTCTATTTTAAAACCCACAAAAATGTCATCCTCCAAAAATCCAACCAACAAAAAAACACTCACTAGAAAAACCACAACTCCAAGACCTTCACTCGATCAACCGGTTTATTCGCCTCCTTTCTACCACTACGGGGGTATGCTTCCCTATTTTCCGCAACATATCCAACAACCACAACGTACTACGCAACCATTTCCACAAACACAACCACAAATTGACCAAGATTTTGATCCTTTTGATTGTGGTTCCCAACCAGAGTTTGTTCCACAAACACAATCACAACCATAAACACCCATTTCCGAACCCGAACCAGAATTTGTTCCACAAACTCAACCCCTCTCAACCAGGAACTAAAAGAAAAGAGAAGGCGGAAGCTAAACCGTGGTCACCTCAAGAAGAGTTAGTGTAACGACCCAATTTTCAAAGAAAATTTTCATTTTTAATTAGTCAAAACACTTTTCTATAACACATGAAATCTCAATACAATTGTTTCAAATTCATATCCAAAACAATATTATTTCCAAACATCAGAGTGTCACATAAAATCCCCGAGAGAGAGTGCACGTCGCGCCATCAAGCCTTGCCCTTGCCCTTGGGCTCGGATGTACCTGAAACAAATCCACAAACTGTAAGCTAATGCTTAGTGAGTCCCCCAGAGCATACCCCACACACAATCCACATAACACATATCAAGTTAGCTATAAAAGATACATATATCACATAAGCCATGCATACAACATATAAGGAAGCCATGGAAACCCTCCAGGGTCTTACACCTAGTGCCACTGGAACCCCCACGTGGTCTTAACTGCCTGCCATGGGAACCCCCACATGGTCTTCCTGTCATGGGAACCCCCACATGGTCTTCACTACCAAACCACACATAATGCAAACTAAACATACCAATATACTAGGATGCCATGGAAACCCTCCAAGGTCTTACACCAAATGCCACGGGAACCCCCTCGGGGTCTTCTATGCAACAGTCATACTAACATGACGCATAACCAATCAAAAATCCACATAACATAAAATGGGCCAACTTTGGTGCCTTAGACCCATTAGTATGGTGAGAAGACTCACCTCTCGGATGTTGAACTGACAAGCTAGAATCAGATATGTCCCACGTGCTGCTCCAACTCAACCGCTTATAATCATTATGTGACTAACTTGTCATAATCCCATAATTACCCTCAAGTCAACCCTGGTCAAAGTCAAGGTCAACAGTCCATGTTGACCTCAACTCACCGAGTGCATCCAACAACTCGTCGAGTTAGCTGTATGACTTGTCAACTCGCCGAGTTACCTTTGTACCTCGTCGAGTTCCTCCCGAGTCCATTCCACTGAATCCCGCATCAACTCGCCGAGTCATCCTAGTGACTCGTCGAGTTCATCAACTATCCAGAAACCAATAGTTCATTCAGACCAAAACCCTAATCCTTCACTGCACTCATTCAGAAACTCAAAAATGGGCAAACCCTATCCCGACTCGTCGAGTCAGCTAAGGGACTCGACGAGTTCCTTCCGTCCTTTCCAAGTTCAGCCCTTTTCAGTGGGATCTAAGGTCCCAACCTTCAGATCCAAACTCCCTTAGTGCAGATACCACGTAAAGTTGCAAACTTTACGTGCATGCAAGGCCCTTCAAGGCCATAACATCAAAACTAGGCTTCTTACAAGGTTTTTGTGCATGGAAAGGGGCTAAGCTGCATAAAGTGAGCAACTTTATGTCATTGGGGACCTAGAGAGGTCCAGATCTGGAACCATATCCTTATAATAAGTCTAGATCCGATTTTGACTCCATTTTGCACTAAAAATGGCCATTTACTTCCAAGAAAAGGGATCTAATCAACTATAGATCAAGGTGACGACTTTATACCTCAAGATGATGGCCAATACATAGTAGATGTCGGATCTACTGCTCCTCTCCTTGCTCCTTCCTCTTCAAGCTCTAGAATCCTTCACAAATACCCCAAAATCCCTCACAAAAGCTCTTACTCTCACTCGAGAAGGTGCAAAGTCGAACTAGGGTTTTCTATGGCTAGAAGGGTGGTAAGGGAGGCCACAAGAGGCAGATTATGTTCCTTAAATAGGGTGCAAACCCTAAAAATTAGGGTTTCTCTTTACAGTTCCTACTCGTCGAGTCGGGGCCTTCCGACTCGTCGAGTAGAACCCAAATCCCGCGTCCTCATAATAGTCTCTACTCGACGAGTTGGAGCACCCCACCTCGCCGAGTCCATGCACAAAACCCTAAAATCATATAAATTAATCAATACCTGGAATAGGTGTTACAGTTAGTATTAGCACAATCATGGATTGACGTTTCAGAGGACGCGAAGACGGGAGGGAACCAAAAACATGATCGTTTTTGGATGCGCGTTAGAGCCCGATTCCACAAATGAATGAACCTAAAACTATATCGTACTAAACATCAGGTGTACTAAAAATGGGGAAAGATGAACAAAGACGTCATGTTGTTTAACGATTTATATAACATGAAACGGCAATGGAAAAGCGGCGAAAGTGACGAAGTGATTTTGGAGAAAGCTTTTAACATTTATCAAAAAGAGCAAAAGAAGACTTTCAAGTTTTTTGAAGTTTGTAATCTATTCAAAGACAACAAAAAATGGCAAAAACTAAAAACAAGCGACGAGTACATCGATAGTGGATCAAAACGGTCAAGAACTTCCGAATCTGAACACACTTCATCGGATGCTCGTGTTGGTTTCGACCTCAACGAGGATGGGCCCGTTCAAGTGTCACCACCCCCGACCAATGGGAAGGGACAAAATAAAAAACAAAGGCAAGGGCAAAGCGTCGGAATCGGATGGCTTGAAAGAAATGGATGAGAATGTGCAAGGCATAAAAGATAGAATGGATAAATTTTTGCAACTTGCTTCGGATAGAGAGAGTCGGAAACAAATAGTCAGCGACCTGAGAGTGCTATCGATGGACACGTCGAATTTGACCGGTGATGCGCTTCAAGTTGTTTTGCAAATGAAGGAAGACGTGAAAAAATGTTATGGTAATCATGGTTAATTTGTAGTTGTTTTCCAAGTTTTTAATTATTTGATGTGTGTGTGTGTGTTTTTTTTTTTTTTTTAAGTTGTAGGTTTAAGCTTTCTAATTTTTTATTTCCTAGGATTTTTTTTAATGTCATGTTTTTTTTTTTAAAGTAATGTAATGGTTTTTTTTTTTTTTTAATTAATGAAATCTTTTGTTTTTAATTAAAACTAAAACTTTTATTTATTTAAAAATAAAAATAATTAAAGGAGTGTGGCACCATTCCTTAGGTGTGGTATGAAACCACACTTTTGTGGTAATGAGTGAGGTGGCGCCTACGTGTCACTGCGGTTTCATGAGGGAGTGCGGCACCACTTCCTCCAACCTAACAATAACATGATCTCACAAAGACGTAAATACCCTCTTTATCTCTGATCATTAAAAACAACCCTACAAAGCTTATCCAATTCCATCATGACATTGTGGCTCTAGAATGGTGTTTATCCATTTTACATGTACAACAACAATACCCAAATCACATAATAATTCTTTTTTACATATACATGAACACCAAAAAACAAACAGGTAGATGATTAAAATCATTCAACTATTATATATAAACATTAAATAACACAGAACAAACAAAAGCTTAATTCCATTTAGGATTACTAGCTACAAACTTGCAACAACAAATTAACTGGGATTTGTAGTACTATTAGATCAACAACAAGCATGAGGTATATATATATATTTAGAAACAACATTTGCGTTGAGGATATATATATATATATATATATATATATATATATATATATATATATATATATTAATGGTCCTCAAAACGTACAACAATGCAAGTAATATTGTCGGAACTGCCCCTTGCATATGATTCTTGCACAAGTTTCCTACATGCAGCTTCTGCATCACTTATTTCATGCACAATACCCACAGCATCCTGCAACAAACATCACTTATAAATCTAGATGAGAAGAACCAAAATGTTTAGTTTTTTTTATCATATAATACTATAAAATATAAAGAATCAACTGTATTACTTATTGAACATTAACTTAACAATTCAATACCTTGATGCATAAAAACATAAAATTTACTTAAAAAAGCACAGTACCATAACTACTAACTATACTTGTAGTTGTAGACAACAATAACTTGATGATGAGTGTGTGAAAATAAAGAAATTAACAATATTGTGATACGCGTTATTGTGTTTAACCTAATTAGTGTTATTACAAGTTTGTTATACTAAGATAGAAAAAAACCAACCAAAAATCACCAATATGTTATAAAAATAAATTTAATGATGAGTGGCTAACCTTATTTGATAGTACATTCCAGAGCCCATCACTTGCAATAATTATAAACTCTACACCTTCAATTAATTCCTCCTGAGATTCAACAATAAATCAACCACAATGAACAACATTCTCCCATGATCATTAAAGCCTCAAAAAGATTAACAATTTATAAAAAAATAAAAAAAAGCAGTTATTAAAGTACCTGAATTTCTGGTTCAGCTACAACATATGGCTTGAGTAGTTTGTCTCCAAAGGCACGAGAAACAGCAAGAACTCCACCAACACGCCATGTTCCTGAAATTCACAATCTATTAACCCCTAACTAATTACAAATTTGCCCTCCATCTCCCCAAGTGTGCTGTCATTTTGTCATATATTTTGGGAACAACATTAATCCAGACATCACTTAATGGGAATTAAAAGCAAATAAACAAGAACAACAAAAAGAGAAATTAAATCCATGGGGGGTAAAAGTACAACTAGAAATTAATTAGCATCTTTATATAGAAATTTACTACCTGCCCAAATGATGAAGCCACCAGCCTGTTCAATACGCTCACGTTCATCACTTCTGTCAGGCTTGTGATCAATTGATAAAGGGATAGCTGCAAACAAAACAAAACATAGGTCATGTCTGGATCCATAACTAAACTATCCAAGGGTATATTGGTAAATTAAATAAGCTTACAACTCCATCACATCATATGCTAAAGCTCTTTCCATTCCATAATAAGCATCTTTACCAAATTAGTAGTCATTCGATTACCAAAAATGATAAGTTTCTTTTTTTTAAAAAAATATTTTCTCTTGGTCTTATTTGAGGTTTCCTTAATATCTTCTGTTAGTAAGTCTTAACAATTAACAAAGGTCCATATGATAGAGGTGAATAAATAGGTATAAAGTGTAAGCAATTTAGAAAGAGACTTGACAATAGACGTGACAACAAGGGTACTAGGAATTGCACATGGAAGTATGTTAATGTCGCGTTCAAGAGGAAGCAAAAAATAAAATATTGACTTTTTTTTTTGACCAAAATGAAGCACACAGTACTACACTTCCTTCGTTAAGGCATGTTTACTTTGATGTATTAAGGGTACAACTTCACATGGAGAAAAAAGTAGAAGTACCAAAACAAGATGAGAGGAAATGAGAGAGAGAGAGAAAAGGTATTCTATTATATATGTATATATGAAAGCACATAAAGATATTAATAATAAAAGATATTAATTATCCTAACTCAATTTTCCCTTTTAAGATTCCGGATGATTTCCATCTTGTTACCCTTGTCAGATTGCATTTGTGGAAAACCAGTGCATGTGCAATGAAGATGACATAAGCACATGCTACACAATGAATGCAACCCCACAAGGGACCAACATAGAGCTAACATGCTAATCTTTACATGGAAAAACACACTAATAACATGGAAACAAAGATGCTAATTAACAAACATACCTACATCCTTGTTGAATTGAAAGTTGAAACCTAATTAATATTGTTAGTTGTACCTGATCCTGCCCTTGAAGCAACAACTCTTGAATCTCCTACATTTGCTACCAGAATCCGATCACCAAGCATTACAGCAGTTGATGCAGTAGAACCAGCATCTCTTTGCTGTGGATTTTCTCCACTTAGGTAATCAGCATCTGTCCTTCTAAATGCTTCAACTGTAATCAAAAATCAATATCATTCACTTATATATTCACCAATCAAATACCATATTAACAGTTTGACACAGACACTGTTCATACCTATGGCTGTCTTTGTGTCTTTCATAAAACCTGGATGACCACTTAAGTTCTTGAAAAGATTGTTCTTAAGATATTCTGCTGTTCTTGAACCACCATGACCTATTTAGTATATACATTGTAAGATCAGAAACAAGATTTTTCAGAAAAGATGATTGACTATACAAGGTCTTGTTATCTTGTAATGGAATTACTGACCATCAAAAACACCAAAAAAGGCAACTGTTTGACCATCAACTTCTGATATTGTTGTTTCAAAGTAATCCTCCATTGATGCCCTTTTACCCTTGAAACTGGCATACCCATACTTAAATCTTGCAGTTTTGCTTCCACTCACAAAGCTAGCAAGATAAAGATAGATTTAGCTTTTGAAATCTTATCTTAATAGCCAACAATCATTAAAAGGGTTACTGTAAGTTAAAAATCACTTAAGGCATCTCATTATCTCAGATAACTGTGTATATCGGTGCATAATTTTATGTTTACGTAACTTTATTCTTTTTAGATTATCGTGCGCTGTTTGCCTTTTAAGTAGTAAAGGTAAAAGAACTGCCGAATTGATAATGATAAAGGATATTGGCAATCGATTATAAACTAAAAAAGAAGGAATTTTAATTACTCCCCTCATCCAAACCTAGTACAACCTGTTAAAATACGAAAAATCACATCAAGGTTTGCAATTTAATTTAAACACCAGGATGTTTCAATCGTAAACATGCTTTATCTTTAATTTCGTTTATGACCAAATAGATTCTCCTCAATGCTCAAAATCCAAAAAAAAATAAAAAAAAAATGACTTCAAAAATTTGTAAGCAAGAGGATAAAAGGTTAATGAAATGAAAGCTGAAATATTAGGTCCGTTTTGTACCTGATTCCACCACCACTATCCAAGGCATCAGGGTCCTTAGAGGGAACCGCAATGGCGGATTGGTGTTGTTGTTCATTTTCATGTTTCGGTTCAGACAAAGGTTCTGGCTTTTGAGCGGTAATAGGTGGCGGATTCCCCGGCTTAACGTCGTCGGAATCGTCTGTAAGGCGAGGAGGTCGGCGGTACTGTGGAGGAGCGGCGGTGGCGGAGGCGGTGGTGGAATCTTTGACGTCCATGATCAGTAGCAATTCATTCAAAGGTGGAATTTTGGGGGATGATCTGTCGTTGCTTCTGTTCTATTCAAACATTGTTTGTATCAATTCATCTTTTTCCATGGTTTTCAGTGCTTTCGGTTCGTTGTTATATGGCGGATGACGCTACCCAATTTTGGTAATTTTTGTTCTCTTGCGATTTACACCCTGTACTTTCTCTCCTCTAATCACTTTGACTCTTCTAACTTTTTAACTTTTATTTTAATTTGTTTTTTTGAAGAGACTTAAAAGTTAAAACTAGCTGGTAACTAAACATGAAATATATAATTTTTATTTGTTAAAAATAAAAAAAAAACTTTTAAAATATATAAAATTATTCAGAAGATATGTATAAAAATTAAAATTGAAACATAACGTGATTATTTAAACTATAGTTTATAAAATTTATAAATATTTTATAACTATTTTAATTTATTTAAAGGTGGCTTTGTATTGATTTTTATGTATAGTTATATAGAAATATTGGTCTCTCACAAATCCAGACTATTAGATATATTAGGTGTGAGACCCGTATATTACACGGGTTTATTAAAAATAAAAGTTTAATATAAATATTTAAACATTAAATATTTTATAAAATAACACTTTTATATAATATAATGTAATCTTTTGGAACATTTATAAAAGAAATCAAATATTCTTTAGAGCATTTATGATCATTTATTATCAAATTAATAGAATGATTTTCTTTTCTTATAAAACTTGTTAGAATTTTATGGAATTTTATTTTAAAAAATGAAAATTCTCAAAAAATGACAAATGGAAAATAATAATTCTAAAAATCCCACAAAATTACATGTAGTAAAACTCTTGAGAATTTGAAAAGTGGAAAAAAAAACCTTCATTTATTATAGAGGATCAACTTACACATAAAAAAATAAAAGACACTACGATGATCAATAAACTAACATGTCGTTTCGCAGTGTTATTTGTTTTCGTGTTTATGCTATTAAAAGACATGAAATGATGCAACCTTATAGACAATACATCTTTATGTTTTTTTTTTTCTAAATCGTGAATATATAAAATAATAACATCTAAAAAACATCAAAGAGTTAAATGAAGGCTAGAAAGAAAAAAAGAAAACCGTGAAAGAGAAAAAACAAAAAAATATGAAGAGATAATTTTTTTAAGGATAGTTTAGTCATTTCGTTAATATATATTTGAGATTTTTGTTAACCCAAAAGCTTTAATATCATGCTGTTAGACAAAGTTTTTTTTTTTTTTTTTCTGAGATTTTTTTTTTTTTTTTTTTTATAAACTAAAAGGTAAAAACTAATATTTAACCATTTAAGTTTTCGTGCTTATTTGGTCATTAACTCATTTTAAATTTTAAAATGGTATTGAACTTTTTAATTATTGTGAAAATAATTATTACGACTAGTAAAAATAAGTTTCCGTACTTTTTTTGGCTAACTAAAATCATTAATTTTTTTTGCTATTCAAGGTCACTATTATAATTAGTTATTAAACTTTTTGAAATTTTATTCGTTCAATTTGTTTTTACAACTTTATTTTTTATTTTATTTTTATATTTCTTTCATAATTCATTTTTATAACTTCATTTTTTAAAATATTTCTTCACAATTCGCTTTTATAACTTTGTTTTTATGTGTTTTTGCATGTTTTTTTGTTCACAAATTATTTTTACAATTTCATTTTTTACTTTGTTTTTCATGTTTTTTTTTTCAATTCATTTTTACAACTTCAGTTTCATATACATCGAGTGATGCTGCATAATTAATAATTTTCTTATCTGTCAGTTTACCTATTATACTAGTAACAATACCTCACATAACTTCTAATAGACATAACTTTTGGCATCAAATTATGTATTAATATACTCAGGAGAATCATCTTTTGGATCCATAATGCCAATAATTAAATAAAATTTATAAAATCTAATACCATAACATAACTAACAAAAAAAAGAACTACTTACAAGGAGAAGACGATAACAACATAAAAAATAAAGTACTAAAGAGATCGAAAAAACATACCCAACAAAATACAATATAAAAACCATAAACTGTGATGAACAATATGGAATATGGCTCAAATCAACAACCATGGGACAACAACTTAGTAGAGGTTTCACCTCTTAGATTGGAGGTCACGTATTTTAATCCGGAAGTTTGATGATTTCTACTAATTTGGTGATACTAACATCTAGCCATTAATCAGCCGTTCAAAAAAAACATTTGAAAAAACATACAAAAATAAAGTAAATATATGAAGATAGAAAAACTGACCGTGAAAAGAATATAAAAAATGAAGAAAAAAAAACAAAGTTGTAAAAAAAGATTTTGAAAAAAAACATGAAAACGAAGTAATCAAATAAAGTTGTAAAAAAATGGTCCATGTGGTATGTATTTTTGGGGGTTTTGGTCCAAACCACGAGTTTTGTTTTTGATTGGTGGTCATTTTCAACAAGTCTGCCCGTGGTTTTGGTCTCTCATAAAACTGAAATGACTATTATACCCTTAATGTATTTTTTTCTTTCTATTTTTAAATATTTTCTTATTATATAATAAAAACCCCCCACTTACCCACCCCTACCTCTCTCTTTCTCTCATATTAATACCAAGAAGATATAATCACCATCATCATCTTCTTCAACACCTTCATCTTCTTCAAAACTCACTCACTCATTGGCTCTTTACCACCCTCCCTCCTTCCAGCTACCAACACCATAATCAGAAATCAATCTTTTCACAATCCCTACCAATATGCTCAAATCAAATACATATATCAAAACCTTACAATTAATTTCTAACCACAAATCAAAACCAAATCCTACCCAAAAAAGATCAGTGCTCAATCAATACAGATCTGAAATGCGACCAGAAGGGTAGGCAGTAGAAGTGGAAGGCTGAGAAAATCTGGAACATCACTAGGAAAGCATGGTGGTGGGGTGGTTTTATGGTAGTGGTCTGGTGGATCTACAGAGAAGAAGTTCAGAGATGTTTGTTGAAGGCCGTAAGGACAATGAGTGGTGGAGATTCGTGCTCTGAATAAGAGGAAACGAGTTTATCTTGGGACATTTGAGTCACCTGAAGAAGCTGTGACTGTGCATAAATCGCCCTATCGTCGGAAACATGTATCTAGGTCTAAATCGACACCGCCAGAACTCTACATCTAGGTCTACAGTCGCCTCCAAAGTTTTGCATTTGGTCTAGTTTCTTATTCGTCGGAGGTATACCTTAGCAGTCGGTGTTGGGTTTTCTTGATCAGTGGTGGGGGAAAACTGGTAATGATGATGTGGCTGATTGGGAATAATAATGTAACACCTCAGTTTTCAAACCAAAATTTTCATTTTTAATTTACCTAAAATATTGTTCATACCCAAACCATCAGAAAATCACAAGTATCAAGTACAAATCATCTCAACAAATATCAGAGTGCCACATAACGCCCAATAACAAAATCTCCCAGCGATTGTGTACAATCAGACCTTCGCTTTCCCGCGATCCTCAGAAGTACCTGAAACACATATAATCAACAACTGTAAGCACGAAGCTTGGTAAGTTCCCCAAAATACCACATACAACATAACACAAATAAACAACTATAGGTTAACAACAACCTTGGAGACTACCCGAAGTCTCGGTGGACAAACAGCACGCCCGAGCTGGTCATTACATGTAAATATATACAACTATTCTACCAAACAGGTAAGAATGAGTGAGGAGACTCACCTCACTCAAATGACAGATAGATCCCACACCCGAACTGTCGGAACTAGACTCTGCCTAATAAACACAATAATAACCCTAATTAATAATGAAGGTCAATAATCCAATTCACAAGTCCAAGCTCCTCAACTAAGTCCCAATCGAGGCAAAAGACCATTTTGCCCCTCCTATGCCCAAGGCCCACCAAGTTTGACCAAAAAGTCAAAAGTCAACAAAGTCAACCCTCTCGGTCCGTACGCGGGGCGTACTGCTCGGACCAGCAAAATCGGGGACGGGCTTGGCTATACGGGGCGTAGCCAGGAGTACGCCCACCGTACTTTGACTGGTCCCAAAACCCCAACTTTTATGTCTTCATCCTTTGAGTCACTTATTCCAACTTCAGATATGACCACTATAGAATGTCTTAACCCATAAAGTCGTTGACTTTAAACCTTTGCATGGCTAGATAGGGCAAAAAACACAAAACCCTAACTTTTACAACACTCTAAGTCACTTAACTCATGCATGAGCCAAAGCAAACGATCAAACAACCATTTTTATGAATCAAGGCACTCTAAAACATCTAAAAGTACATCCAAAATGCTTTGGAGTACCCCATACTCACAAAGGTCCAAGATTTGGGACAAAAAGCTCATAAATACCCATCTAAAGAGATCTAGAAAGAACATCGACAAGGTATGGACTTTATACCTTCAAAAGATGCACAAAGTGAGGTAGTTTCTGGATCCACAAGCTTGCATGCAACACCTGTTGGATTGGGTGTCTAAGCCCATAACTATAATTTTGTATGTACTTGATTTGATAGTAACATGGTCCTTTTGGGTTGCCTTCACTCTAGCAACTTGACAGAATGACTTTTGGAGAGAGAGTTTGATAAATGATTTATTAATGTATTATGAGAACAATAGATTAATTAGAAAACATGTTATTTAATTAGTATTTAATCAGAAATTAATTTGGAATTAATTTCGGGATTAAAGGAACTGGTTAAAGGAACGGGGGCTGTTTTGCAAATCATTTATAGTTGTGAAACTGGGCTAATGGACTCCTTAGATGGGAGTGGACGAAATCCTATAGGGAGGCCCTATAGATTTCGTCCAAGTCTTATTGGTAAAGAGTCCATGAGATGCTTAAGTCTTAAGCAGGAAATTAGGGTTTCCTCCAGAAACCCTAGCAGCCCTCAGCTATATAAAGACCCCATGGTTTAGGATTTTCGGCTAAGGCTTGCTAATAGAAACCCTAGCCGAAATTCTAAGTGCTTTCCCTCCTCACTCTTCTCATCCTTTTGCTAGTGGTGTTTGTAAGCCATTAGAGGTGCAACATTTGAGGCACTAAGCTTTCAAGAGTCAAGATCTGCAAGGTGTTATTGTTATTACTACGTAACAAGTAAGGTAAACTTCAAAACCCTATTTGAATATAGATTTTGATTTAT